TCCATAAAAAAAAAAAAATTAAAAAAGCAGGGCTTTTTTCACTTTCTTCACAGCATCGCCTCGGTTTCTTGTAGTTTATCTCCTTGTAGTAAGTTTAATGTACCAGTTGAGTGATTTGTGCATGGTGTTGTTGTGTGCGGTGTTGCAGTGAGAGCAGTCGAGAATGTCCAGAGCTGGTGTTGTCACCGGCAGTGTGAGGGACGGGCTGTAATTGGGAGCAGAGAGTGCAATTGACTTTGTCATCAAGCCATAGGCCATTCAGCCAGAGACGCCATTCCAGAACTCTTCTTTCCTCTCTCTCTCACACCACACACACACACCACACAACTCTTATCCGTTTCCTTGGCTGAGTCAGAAGTTACTCTGTAATATGCGGTGGAAGAGAATTGTAGCAAGAAAGTTTTCACCGAGTGCGGGGGATTCCTCTGTGCTTGTCTGAAAAGTCACCCAAACCAGAAGTTAAATCTAGCTAAGCCTCTGCCTGTTGATACCGCTATCTGTTAAAATAGCACACATCCCGCTCTGCCCATTCAACCACGTTCTCCATTCTTTCTCCCTTTCATTCTTTCTTTATTTTCACTCCTCACTCTCGGCTCTCAGAGAGCAGCTGATGTTCCCGCTGCAGTTCACGGGCGATGCTTGGACGCTGGTGGCCTGGAGTGGCACGCGAGCGGCGTGGGCGGCGGGCCAGCCAGGGCGGGGGCGCTGCGCGACTAGGCCATCTCTCGGGCCCTGCTCAGCTTCCTGTCCTGAGGGAGAGGGGAGACATCGAGACCAGGTGGGGTTGTCGCCTGTTTTACCTCAGGGAAAGGCCTATCTGTGTTGTTTCTCGTTTAATGCTTACATCATACTTTTTGGTTCTTCCATTACATTTATGATCCCATGTCTGGTTTTTTACTGTGTTTACTTTTAATAGTCTTCCTTGCCTTTGAAAGCATTTGCTATACAAATAACAGTTTACTGTATTACTGCAGACCATTAGGTTTACGATAGTGGTGTAAAATTCAACTTAAAACTTAACTTATGACAGGGCACCAGGCAATCCACCTTAATGGACAATTCTTAGTTCTCTTCTGTTAAAGGTGGTTGGGGTGAAAAACGCTTTATAGCTGGTCTTCAGATCCATTTACTTTAACAATAAGGAATGATACAAATGCTGCAACTGGTGATTTATTTGCAGAATTGAGGTTGGACACTGTAAGAGGACGATAGATTTATAGAGTTTAGTTTTAGGTGAGGCTTCAATCATAAAGACGTGCATTAAAAGCAAGATGCAGAATGTTGGTAGAACCTCAAAAGGCCTGACGCAGGAGAATAACAGTTGAGACGCATTAAAACAAACATATCAAGAAGAATATCCAAAATGCACTTTGTCTCCTGATTTCCATCCATTTTTCATTTGTCTCTCTTTTCCGTCCTTTTAACCTCCAAGCCGGTCTGCAGACCCTGGGGACCCGAGAGTGCGGGAGAGAAGGAAGCCGGGCAGGCGGAGCATCCGGAAAGAAATTCACCTGGAAGAAACGCTGAGGAACTGAGGTCAAACAATAAAAACATTCAGACAAAAAACATTGTGTTTTCCCAGAGGTCGCTTCTGTCCTCTTCGGTTTGTTCATCCTCTGGAAAGAACAAAACGCTCGACTGTCTAGCAGGCGTCACTTGTTTCTAAAACAGCAGCTCGACTCAACAGGCTGCAGTTGAGCCTTCTCAGCCACCAGATGGCAAGTGTGTGGTCCAGGAATAAAATGAGAGTTGAATATAATTTATCAGTATATTAAACAATAAATATGATTTTTCACAGAAAGTAGATGTTTTCTTTGTATTCTTTTGTTTTTTTTCCCGTCATCATAAGAAAGTGTTTAACCATTACATGTTTTTTCTTGACATTTTTCTAATGTCAACGGTTCACTTTAACCTTTTAAATTTTTAAAATATAATATACATACTTAATTAATTCAATAACACTTCTACAGACTAAATTAATCAATAATTTTGGACAGTACTAAACGTATCCAAACCTCGAATCCATTTTCCTCTTCCTGTTCATAAAACCAGCTTCTGCCACACAGATTGTTCGCCAAATGCTTCATTAAATGTTGAGCAGGTGTGCCTATGCTAATTTTACTGCACCTGTTTCATCACGCTCAGCAACATATAGGTCATCGATTTGAATGGATATTGATTAATCTTAATAATGTATCCGGTGCCAGTATATCAGCTGCAAACAAGAGAAAACATGTAAAATTAAAGTGTTTTTTAGAGAATGAAACGGCGGCGGCGGGCAGACTACGTGGCCGGGCTGCCGTGTGAGGTTTAAAAATAAAGGTGCAGAAGAGCTCCATGTTTTGGGACATTTGGCCGCGGAGTTTTGGCCGTCAGACAGGTGCACTAATCACCTGGAGTCAGGTTAAGTGGGTGAGAGAAAGCCTGGGTGTGTGGGATGTGTGGTGAGGGGTGGAGTATATGTCTTCCCATTGGAGTGGACCGTTCCAGACAGACGTATAGACGGGATTTACTGCCACCAGACTACCAGGAAAGCAGCATGAGGGCGACGGGTGAGCCGTCAAGACTACCTGTTCCTCACATTTTCTGCTCCACGTGGAGGTTGGAGGCAGCGCATTATTGTGTGTGGAGGTGTGAGTGTGTGTGTGTGTATCTGCTCCCATGGAGGCAAGCGGTAACTGAAACCCCGGCGATGATGGTACGGAGGTGGTGGACTGCAACAGCAACACCCTGAACGCCGAGCTGGGAGTGAAGAAGCTGCAGGAGCTGGTTCGGAAGCTGGAGCGGAAGAACGAGCAGATGCAGGACCCGGGCCAGAGGCATGCTTCGGGCGGCCCCGCATGGCTTTGCCCCGTCCCCGGCGTAAACGATGCTCGCGGCGCCGGAGGGAACGGATACTGCCTCCCATTTTGCCCGTGCCCACCTTGCTCATGTTCCCAGTCGTCCTTGGGGTCCTTCGCGCCCCCGGAGGAGTCCTTTCGACTACTTTCCCTCCGCACACGGCGGGGGACGGAGCGGTGCCGGTGAGAGGAGGGAGGATGAGGAGGAGGATGAGGAGGGATGGGATCCGAGGCCGTCGGTTCTGGATGAGCTGGAACTTTTAGACTATGGAATTCTCTGTCCTTGCTGGATGAGTCTGATGGAAACATGGCTAACTTGATTAATATTCAACCATTTGTTGTGATATATGAAGTCCATGTGTAGTATTCTCCTGTTATTTTTACACTCATTGTTTGTTTAGTGTGTGTGTGTGTGTGTGTGTGGTGTGTAACCAGACCTGTCCTGACAATGCCCAGACAATAGAACACACAACCTTGGGAGTAAATTAGCAGCTGAGAGGAGAGGGCCACTTTGTTTATCAGCCTGTCATCAGGGCTGCACCAAGCTGGCCAATTCTTCCCTCTGTGCTGTGCAGGACAACCATTTATAGTAAAATGCCATTTTTGTGGAGCAAATGGAAACCAACCCTAAACCTAGCAGTGTGCAAGATGGGGGCTTTAAAAAAAAAAAAAGAAACTACATTTCCTTGGAGATAGTGTGGACTGTTTTAGCTGAAAACATCTTCCAAAATCTGCACGAAGAAACCACTCAGTATTGAATCTCACTAACATCCTACATTACTGTCATCTTCTAGTTAAAGACTGTGAGGTGGTTGCGAAGAGACAGTTGAAAATCAGGAAGGGTCCAGTTTTGCTGATTGATGTTTGTCATGCTCGCAGGGTGAGCTGACCCCATCTGTGCAAAACACAACAATCAAATTCAGAACCATACTGCTGTCCTGGGGTCAATTAAGTGGCCAACACGTTCCCATAAAATATATGCTTGTAAACCTAAAACATCGATTGACAAAATATAGAAATAAATATTGCTATTAGTATACTTATATATCTATGCTTAATCCAAATACCAAATTTGGCTCACGCCTAGTAGCTCTCTCATGCTCGGTATATTGTATTTACACATGTACCAAAAAGCCCTTATAACAATCACATCTTAATTATATTCTCAACAACTCCGCGCGCAACTGAACAACTGGAAATAATAAAATATATCCAATAGGAATCATTCAATCTCTCCTCTATTGAATATAACAATCCCACTTGGTCAGTACACTTACACTGTCTCAAACACTGCTGGTAAAAACACACCAACAAGGAAATGTAATTATGGCTTAGAAAATCTTGCTACTCACAGTCTGCTCCCACCAGTTTATTACTCCAAAACTAAAGTATATGAGGTCATAAAGCTGTATTATTAATATTATATTATATTATATTATATTATATTATTATATTATATTATATTATTATATTATATTATATTAATAATTATTATATATTATTATATTATATTATATACTACTATATGCTTTATATATATATATATATAAATATATATTATACATTATATACTGTCCAACAACCGGATTGTATTAATTTAAGATCATATTGTTTTTAACTGTACTAAAGATAAAATATAATTTATCTCTGTTTATTGTTCAGTTCTGCACACTGAATGAACTAATAAACACTTCTTTAAGATTTATAAAGGAGATGAAATAAAGATACGGGGGGGGGGGTGTACTCTGTAACCCCACCTGTCCAATACAAACCTCTGCACCCCCCCTGTGCACGTGCATTCAACCTGTACACCTGTGTGTTACTGTGTGTGTGTGTGTGCGTGTGCGTGAGAGAGAGAGAGAATGTCCAGAGCTGGTGTTGTCACGCAGTGTGAGGACGGGCTGTAATTGGAGCAGAGAGGTGACAATTGACTTTGTCAGCAGCCATAGGCCATTCAGCCAGAGACGCCATCCAGAACTCTTTCTTTCCTCTCTCTCTCTCTCTCACACACACACACACACACACACAACCTTATCCTATTCCTGCTGAGTCAGAAGTTACTCTGTAATATGCGGTGGAGAGATTGTAGAAGAAAGCTTTTCACAGTGCCGGGATCCTCTGTGCTTGTCTGAAAAGTCACCCAACCAGACATTAAATTAGCTAAGCCTCTGCCGTTGATACCGCTATCTGTTAAATAGCACACACTCCCGCTCTGCCCATTCAACCACGTTTCATTCTTTCTCCTCTTCTTCTTTTTTATTTCACTCCTCACCTCTCGGCTCTCAGAGAGCAGCTGATGTTCCCGCTGCAGTTCACGGGCATGCTGGGACGCTTCGACCTGGAGTGCACCGCGAGCGGCGGCGGGCGGGCCAGCCAGGCAGGGGCGCTGCGACTGGCCATCTCTCGGGCCCTGCTCAGCTTCCTGTCCGAGGGGGAGGGGGAGACCATGAGACAAGGTGGGGTTGTCGGCCTGTTTTAGCCTCAGGAAGGCCTTCTGTGTTTCTTTTAATGTTACATCACTACTTTTTGTCTTCCATTTACATTTATGATCCCATGTCTGGTTTTTACGTGTTTACTTTAATATTCTTCCTTGCCTTTGAAAGCACTTTGCTATACAAATAAAGTTTATTATTACTGCAGCCATTAGGTTACGATAGTGGTGTAAAATTCAACTTAAAACTTACTTATGACAGGCAATCCACCTTAATGGACATTTAGTTCTCTTTGTGAAGGTGTTGGGGTGAAAAGCTTTATAGCTGTGGTCAATCCATTTACTTTAACAATAAGGATGAGTACAAATGCTGCATACTGGTGATTTATTGCAGAATTGAGGTTGAACACACTGTAAAGGGCGACGATAGATTTATAGAGTTTAGTTTTAGGTGAGGCTTCATATCATAAAGACGTGCATAAAGAAATGCAGATGTTGGTAGAACCTCAAAAGGCCTGACGCAGAAATAACAGTGAGACGCATTAAAACAAAACATATCAAGAAGAATATCCAAAATGCACTTTGTCTCCTGATTTCCATCCACTTTCATTTGTCTCTCTTTTCCGTCCTTTTAACCTCCAGCCGGTCTGCTGACCCCTGACCCGAGAGTGCGGGAGAGGAAGAAGCCGGGCCAGGCGGGAGCACGAAAGAAATTCACCTGGAAGAAACGCTGAGGAACTGAGCTCAAACATAAAACATTCAGACAAAAACATTGTGTTTCCCAGAGTCGCTTCTGTCCTCTTCGGTTTGTTTCATCCCTCGGAAAGAACAAAACGGCTCGACTGTCTAGCAGGCCGTCATTGTTTCTAAAAGCAGCTCAGACTCAACAAGCTGCAGTGAGCCTCTTCAGCCACCAGATGGAAGTGTGTGTCCAGGAATAAATGAGAAGGTTGAATATATTTATCAGTATATTAAACAATAAATATGATTTTTCACAGAAAAGTAGATGTTTTCTTTGTATTCTTTTGTTATTTTGCCCGTCATCATAAGAAAGTTTAACCATTTTACATGTTTTTCTTGACATTTTCTAATGTCAACGTTTCACTTTAACCTTTTAAATTTTAAAATATATATACAATACTTAATTAATCAATAACACTTCTACAGACTAATTAATCAAATTAATGACAGTACTAAACGTATCCAAACCTCGAATCCAAATTTTCCTCTTCCTGTCATAACCAGCTTCTGCCACAAGATGTCGCCAAATGCTTATAAATGTTGAGCAGGTGTGCCTCTGCTAATTTTACTGCACCTTTTTCATCAGCTCAGAACAATTAGGTCATCGATTGAATGGATATTGATTAATACTTAAATAATATCCGGTGCAGTATATCAGCTGCAAACAGAGAAAACATGTAAAATAAGTGTTTTTTAGAGAATGAAACGGTGTGAGGGTAAAATAAAGGTGCAGAAGAGCTCCTGTTTGGACATTTGGCCGCAGTTTGGCCTCACAGGTGCACTAATCACCTGGAATCAGGGTTGTGGGTGAGGGAGGAGGAGGCCGGGGTGTGTGGGTGTGTGGTGGAGGGGTGGAGTCATATAGTCTCCCATTGGGTGACCGTCCAGACAGGCGTACTAGACGGATTACTACCACCAGACTACAGAAAGCAGCCAGAGGGCGACGGGTGAGCCGTCAGCAGCTACCTGTCCTCCATTTCTGCTCCACGTTGGAGGTTGGAGGCAGCGCATTATTGTGTGTGTGAGTGTGAGTGAGTGTGTGTGTTCTGCTCCCATGGAGGCAGCGGTACTGAACCCCGCGATGATGACGGAGGTGGACTGCAACAGCAACACCCTGAACGCCGAGCTGGAGGTGAAGAAGCTGCAGGAGCTGGTTCGGAAGCTGGAGCGGCAGAACGAGCAGCTGCGGACCCGGGCCAGCGGCTGCTCGGGCGGCCCGCATGCGCTGCCCCAGTCCCCGGCGTACGTGCTCGGCGGCGCCGGGGGATACTGCCTCCCCAGCCCGCTGCCCACCTTGCTCTGTCAGTCGTCCTTGGGGTCCTTCGCGCCCCCGGAGGAGCCTTTCGACTATTTCCTCCCGCACACGGGCGGGGACGGAGCGGCTGCCGGTGAGGAGGAGGAGGATGAGGAGGAGGATGAGGAGGATGGATCCGAGCCGTCGGTTCTGGATGAGCTGGAACTTTTAGACTTGAATTCTCTGTCCTGCTCGGATGAGTCTGATGAAACATGGTAACTGAATTAATATTCAACCATTTGTTGATATATGAAGTCCATGTGTAGTTCTCCTGTTATTTTCCTCATTGTTTGTTTGTGTGTGTGTGTGTGTGTGTGTAACCAGCCTGTCCTGCAATGCCCAGACAAAGCAACACACACACCTTGGGAGTAAATTAGGCAGCTGAGAGGAGAGGGCCACTTGTTATCAGGCCTGTCATCAGGGCTGCACCAAGCTGCCATTCTTCCCTCTGTGCTGTGCAGGACACACATTTATAGTCAAATGCCATTTTGTGGGCAAGGAAACCAACCCTAAACCTAGCAGTGTGCAAGATGGGCTTTAAAAAAAACATCATTTCCTTGAGATAGTGTGACTGTTTTAGCTGAAACATCTTCCAAAATCTGCAGAAGAAACCACTCAGTCTGAATCTCTACATCCTAATTACTGTCATCTTCTAGTGAAAGGGACGTGTGAGGTGGTTGCGAAGAGACCAGTTGAAAATCAGGAAGTCCAGTTTTGCTGATGATGTTGCAGCTCGCAGGGTGAGCTGACCATCTTGTGCAAAACAAACAATCAACAGGAAGCCACTGCTGTTGGGTAATAGGGCTGCTATAATGCTTGTTCTCATTAGTTACTACTTTTTCAGTTAATCAATAAATTGGCTATCAGAAGTGGCTCTCAGCTGGCTTATTGTTTTTACAGTAAAAGCCCTTTTAAATCAGCATGCTTATTATTACACAATGACCAGGAATTAATTATCAGAATAGGAACTTATTAATCTTGTAATATCCTGTCGGTAATAACTGTAAACACTGCTGTAAAAACACACCAACAGGGAATGTTTATGGGCTGAAATCTGCACTCCAGTTGCCAGTTTATTACTCCAAACTAAAGATAGAGGTCTAAAGCAGCAGTCCTGCAATAAATATCTACATTTACGGTGCTTAATATGTTCAGTTTTTGTTGGGACTTGTTGTAGAGAGGTTGTTAATTCAACTTGATGGTCATTTTTTGGAGGCTGTTTCCAATATTCTGCAGCATTCATGTTCATGTCAGTGAGGGTAGACTAGCTTCACACAGGAGATCAAACTGATCTTTGAAGAGTAGCCGATTCTCCACTGCGGCACATTCAGATTCATCTTTTATTTGGTGTGTTCATATCAGCTGTGTCCCCTCCTGCTGTCTAAGAATAGTAGCCGAGGTGCATTTGTGTGTCCCCCTCCAGATCAGACTCTCACCTGATGTCGGTGAAGGTCTTAATCTATAATTCAGCTCCATCCGTGTTCGTCTCCAGAGGGGGAAAAACCGCGGAGGAGTTCAGGGCCTGTCAAAATAATCTGATCCACTCCTTTCTGAATTGAGCAGCTCCTCTTCCTCACATCTGAGAAGCTTAGTATCACCTTAAGCCGGAAGGTGGTGGTGGTGGTGGGGGGGGTTCTGACTCAGGAGGGGATGAGTTGGTGGCACAAAACGAAAGAGTCTGGGTCGTGATATGTCAGAGACCGCCTGGAGAAATGGCCCCAGCAGGGAAATGTTATACTACTTTGACTTTGTTCCTTTTTCAATTAGTCATCTGTGGTTCGTGTTGGACAAAAAGCAAGAGAATGATGTTGTTTTAAGGTTTAGGAGGTTTGGATATTTGGTATTGGGTACGAGGAACACGCCACCATGCAGCAGGAGTTCTACCTAAAATGGAAAGATATTAAAAGGTTTTGTTGCCATCAAGTCTCTTTTTGTATATAATAGTTCTGTTTCTATCCAATAATCCGGTGCAATATCAAATAAAGTTGCAATATGAAGTACGAAAATAAATGGGCTTGCAGAACAAAAAGTCCTAAAAAATCAATAAGAATGATTACGGACTGATTGGATATTTGAAATATTACAATCTGGACACATTTTCTCACAAACACTATTGGATGGACTGCTATGAGATTTGGTTCCAACATTCATGACTCAAAGACTCTATAATATCTTGGCTGACAGAAAATATCATTGGCAATTATTATTTTGAGGATTGATTCATTGTTTTTTAGCCAGTTTTTCAGACATTTTGTAGCATTTTGCTGCTTTTGTATGATTTGTATCAATGTAAACAAATCTCTTTGGATTTTGTGCTGTCGGTGATCAAAGGTGATCTTTGAGGATGTCACTTGTATTTTTTTAAACAAAAAAAATGAATTGATTAATTGGAAATATGACATTCCAACCTGCCACAGCTCTACATGTGGTTTTAGCGCTAATTAGCAGCTAACACGCTAGATTAAGATGGCGAGCATGGTAAAGACAATGTCAGCTACGTGCCTTGTCCTGTGGTGAGACAACTGTTTGACTCTCAATCTCAATCTGTGTCTCCTTCCAGGTTGTATGCGCCATCAAAAGCTAAAGAGTCCACAGATCACTCCCTCACACCTCTGCAGTGGTGCCGGCAGGGTCTGGACAGCCCCAGGTCCGAGGTGGAGGCCGCCAGGCGGTCGCTGTCGCTGCGACTGGAACAAGGTATGAGATTGTGTGTGTGTGTGTGTGTGGGTGTGTGTGTGTAAGAAAAACCTTGATTTGCTCCCGGGGGGGGGTTGTGTTGTTCAGCAAAAGAGTCGACTGTGCACAACAAGAGATAAACCAGGCTACTCTCTCGGTTGTCGTAGGGTGCTAATTAAAAGTTAAATTAAAAGCTATGTGTCAGTCAGTGTGTCACACCTTGGGTTTGTTGCAGACAGAAACGGTGCTGTTAGAACATTTAGAGACACAAAATCCAAATTGCTCTCAGTATAAAATGACAAACTCAGTATTTGAATGCATTTTCATGTTTTTATAAATGAAGGATCTGTGCAAAATGTTCTATATTGAATCTTAGATTAGCAGTCAACCCATTTCTGAGTTCTGTCTCTCTTTAGGAGCTGATAATGTGAGATTTAAAAGGGTCATGCTCGTGTCGGGGTCCCGGGGAGATGCCCAGTACAACCAGTGTGACACACACTGAGCAGCCCCACCAGGGCAACTGGAGGTACTGGGTGTGCTTCAGACTCGGCACATGTTGATATCGCCATTGATAATAGACCAGAATGCAATGCAGACGGAGGATCTTTTTTTGGTACAATTAAATATCTCTTCCTGTCTGATGAACGATGCTGGAAACGTCTCTGTGTTGTGGAGCTCAGTCTCGGAGTTGTTTCTAATTTCAGATTTGTCACTTTAGTTGTAATAAGATGTGCATTAGAGGAGGGTTTTGTGTTTTAGCCTTACGGACTCTGACCAGCTGGTCTGTTTTCCACTAAATTTTAATTTAGTGGAAAACTTCTAGGCCTTACCAACATCACATTTCTGTCTTTTACCCGCAGTGTCTCCGTTGCCACACTACAGACTCAAACCAACGACTGAGACAGCAGATTAGTTCGCAGGGCGCCGTTCTCCCACAGGCTATTTTAAACTGATGTTCAGGTTTCTTGCCAGAAAACACAGGAGCTCACTGACTCACACAACACAATTCTCGGCCAAGAGGAAGTGCTAAACTGTTTCTCGTCTAGACTCTAGAGCGAGATGCTCTCGCTGTTTTGTGATGGAAGCAGTTTGGCACCAAAACCGTTGTCATTTTCTTGAGTTACAGATAGATTGCTGGGTGGGTAAATCTGTTCGGGTCTGTGCTGTACAGCTACGTAGCTCTTATCATGACGGCTAATCCTAACTAACCAAAGCAAATAAAATGAGTCAAAATACAACGAACTGACCTCCGACCGCTCAGTTAGAGGTCGGTGTGTGAGTAGAAGTGGCTAATGTTCTTCAGCTACAGTTCTGAATGGCTTTGACATGAGTATTTTTATTTTATACTTCTTCACACTTCACTGACGGTCATTTTTATTAATAATTTGTCTGCAGATTCCGTTTTGCTGGTGGTTTGTTAATGTCGGTCATACAGAGGCATCAGTATCAAATTGGGACTGTTTCATAACCAGATAAAGAGTCTTTGTAGTACGTTAAAGTAAAGGATATTTTGTTTCCATCTTTAATCAATAACACATTCATTTGACAATTCTAGTAAAAAAAAAGTGTTTTTATGAAGCACTCGGTTGCTTTCTTCTTTGTTGTGCAACTCTTTGTACATTAGGGCTGCAGATATTGCGATATGATTCACGATCATTAGGAATGATCATTTTGACTGTAAAAATTGTGATGACGTGACATTTGTTGGAGTCTGTTACAAACAAACATGTTTTCTTACATCTGGAGAAAAATATTTGTAGTTCAGTGCAGCTCTGCAGTGCTTCATTATAAAGCTGTTTGTCACATTTTACCTTTATCAAAAAAAGTGCCGCTTCTTGCGTTTTGGTTATTGCACTTGACCATATTGCCATTAAGTGTGCAGCTGTAGTGCAGATGACCTGCTGCTTTATACACAAAGACCACAGCTGTTTCATGGGTCCTTTTCGGGGCTTTGTGACAGTGGATTGTTTTAAGATAATACAGTGGGAGCCAGTAACATAAAAGTGACCATCCAGAGATACTGTTCCTTCGTGGCCACAATGAGCAGGTTGAAGTTGGATCACCTTCATCACTTCACTGTGACTAATGGGGCTCAGCAGGGACAGTAGACCTCACAGACTTTAATCCGTCCACGCCTCACAGCATTAAGCAGATCAGGCCTGGGTCATCTGACCTGCTTGTCTTCAATGATTACAGCCATCTCTGAATTATACCACGAGGAAGAATACTGAATACAAAGAACAAGGAAACACATTTGAGGAAGTAAAGCCGGAAGAGCGGCCGCTGAGCTTCCTTAAAAGTATATCCGCTGTCATGGTTACATATCTGAGAAAAATCAAGCAAACAGACTTGAGTCTCTTGCTTTGAGTTCAGTGTTGTCATGGTTACCTCCAGCACCTCAGTCGACCTTTTAATAACAGATATCATATCTTGAGCTCATCGACAGCCGGCCTGGAAAAAGCAGATCGGGGGTTATCAGTCCAGAAGTTGTAGTGATTCTCGTCCAATCCATGGGTCTCTGTGCAGGCTTCAGTTTGAGAGAGTGTGTGTGTGTGTGTGTGTGTGTGTGTCTCTGTGCAGGCTTCAGTTTGAGAG